TTGCAACTGCGAGTTCAGCTCGGACCTTTTCCCGTGACGCGCTGGCGTCAGCATCAATCTTGACGGCATGAGGCCCTGTTGGGCAACCTTCCATCTCACGGACGAAATACCTCGGAGCAAACACTCGGCTGATCTGCAATGCGCTTCATTCAAGGGTGCAATCTGCCTGCCATATGGCGCCAAACGCAGAATCGTGGAGCCATTTGTGTGGTCGAACCCATCCAGGAAAGCGACCTCCAGTTTGTGACACGATCGTACACAAGCTCGACGGCATGTCCAGCTTGCATACTGTGAAACTTGGGCACTGTAGCCTCCTCCGGAGCATACGTTGTCGCCACGAGCTCCCAAAACCTAGCAAGCCACAGATTTGGAGGTCGAAGCAGCCCCTTTCTTCTACGTTCTCGCACTCTCTCCGTCCTTCTCGTGCATCATCTTTGCGCTGTGGTTTGTCTGTGCTGGCTGAGGTGCCAGTCCCTTTTGCCCGTCGCTGTTGAGTTCCGCGACAACACCAAGCGGATCAGTTCAACAAAGAGAGGAAGGCACAGAGATTGCTCGACTTGCTACGGCAAACTGACACTCCTGAATCTGCGCAGGGCCTAAGCCAATCAAATTGCCTCCCCGGACATCACGTGCCGGCTGACTACACCTCGTGGTGCATATGCTATCCGAGAGACGGCAAAGGGGCTCGGGCGTTGCTGTAGATCACGGCACCAAACCTACAGTATTGCAAGGCTGTGCTGAATCGATCTGCTGCTCGGAGCCGGTAAGCCTCGGACCCACGTGATCTGAGCCGATCTTCCCTGCGGTGACTCCATCTTTTAAAGGGAACACGAGAAACAGCTTGACCGTGCTTCAACGATCAGCCGGGCTACACTTGGCTGGAATTCCATCGTGCGACCGGGGTGTCAAGCAGCCCGGTGGTCGACATGTCCGTCCTTTCGCTTGCGCTTGCTCTCACAATGCAGCTGCAGTCTGCCTGTCTGCGGCATTGTCTGCAGTGTTAACGAGACCACCTGCCGTGAGCTGCATACATCTCAGCAAAGTGGGGATAATCAACAACCTCAGAGAGCCAATGAAACAAGCACGCGGGCGAAAGTACTGCGCGAACTCGTGTACACTTGGAAGCCGACACTTGCAGGCCCCAGAATCTTTCGCAAACCGTAGAACATGTTTCGCGAGACATAGCCTCGGCTTTGAGCGGATGGCCAGGCATTAAAAAGCCTGAGAAGTGACACGCTGTTCATACTTCCAGGCCTCCTCTGTGGAAACCTTTTGGAGGCAAAAGGAAGAGCACAGATCCACGCTTCATCTGCAGATGGCTCAGCAAATATTCTGCCTGTCAAGGCCAGGGCTATGGCTGATGGGTGCTGCAAGGCTCTCGAAACCCTCTGCGACCCAAAACAGCAAAAAAGCTAAGGCCCACACAAGCTTGGAAGCTGCAAGGCGATGCTTCGTGTACCGCAGAAGAGCGGCCGCTGCCTCGACGTACGCACCTTGGCTTGAGACCATGAGAAACGCCGAAGTATTTTCATGACGTGCTCCTGGTTTCACCAGTGCTCGAGCCCTCGAGCCACTCTTTGAGCTCAAGCGCGGATGTTGAAGGCCGTCGGGTCCAAGCGCCCTTCATAAACTCCCGGCAAGGTCTTTGCAACTCCTGAGCGGCGACCTATGCAGTCTTTCGTACAGCCATGTGCGGATGCCCTTCTGCAGCCCAGCAGCGGAGTAGATGGATTGGCAAGAACGGAATTTG